ATATTTTGACATAAAATATAAAATAGTATAAGTTATTAATTTCTTAATAATCATAAGCCTGTTCTTTTTAGCTGAACTTTTGCACCAGTTTATTTTTCTTTTTTTTCTTTCTTCCTGGATAGAAAGCCAAAAAGAACAAGCCTCATGTCTTAATATTTTTATGCATGTATAGAATAATTAAATGAATTATTTGATAAAGTGCACAATTACGTTAGGCCATAACAAAATCTCATAAATAATTAATTTTTTGATAACTCTAATTTCATACTTTTACAGTAATTATAGTATAATATACAAAATATACATATATCGATGTTCATCCTATTGTCTTGTTTTTCTTAATAGTGATAGAAAAAAAGGCAATATACACAATCGGCATGAACACATCAAAAGTCAGTGCCCAGAATTACAAGTCTTGGACACAACATTGAAGTAACAAAATTGATTTTTTTCAGAAATTGATTTTTTATTATTTGTTCCTCTTTAAATTACAACTACTTTTTTTTGTATTTTTCTTAATTTCCGAAATATCTCTACAGCATTTAAAATGAAACACCTCGTACATCGTCGTATAATCAACTATTATTAATTAATGATATTGACACGGATTTGAATGTTAACTATTTCATTTGCATAAACTGCTATTAATATACATACAATAATACATATATAATAATAACAGTTATTTTATGGTATATATAATAATAATAGTGTGTTTTTTAGGTGGCATGGCTGCGTGTCGATACGCAAACTATTTTGACGATAGCGACCCACGTGATCACGAAGAATCACAGGATCGCGGTTTCCCACAGTGACCACCGAACGTGGTTTCTTCACATACGGGAAGTACGGGAATCTGATCGAGGCTGGTACATGTGTCAAATAAACACGGATCCCATGAAAAGTCAGATCGGTTATCTCGAAGTGGTCGGTGAGTAAAGAACCTGCATTGACTTTTCCTCTGTTTTAACGAACTGGTTGCAATTATTTTGATTATTTCTGTCGTTCTCATCTCGTAGAAAGATTTCCACAGGATATTGATAGTGGTTACATGTTTTGTTACTCTCCATTGATCCAGACCGGGCAAAGATTGATATAATTTATCGTCCGTTTATATTATTATGTTTTCTCATTTATTTATTACTTTCGCCGTCTCACTGCATTAACAGAAAGTAGAAGACACGTTATTGAAATAATGGACTTGAAATAAAGTCACCTTTATTTCCTCACGATACCAATTCTCGTCCACCGCTCCGTTGTTATCACAGCTCGCTCGTACTCGACCGCTAGATATTCAATTAACGCCACAAGAAGCTGATATCGAAGAAGAGAACGCGATGCGCCGATTGAATATCACAGCGTGATATTACAGATGGCATGCGCACGAGTATAATGCGTTTGTTGAAAAGGTAGCACACTCAATCGGAATCAGAAATCCGCCAAACCAATGGGAACTTCTAGGCAATGCAAGTTAGTCTGCTGGCCTCTTGGCTGGTACAACTTACAAAGTGGCTCTTGCCGCAGTTCGAAGACTGCTGCGAGTACTCCCGAACTGCAAAGCTTTAGTCGTACGTCGCTGCTCGAATGCACTCGCAAGTAGATTATACAGCAATGCTAATAGGAGACCGCTTTCATTGGTTCCATCGCGTCGTTAAGACTTCGTTTCGGGTACCACCGGACGATTCGTCCTTCTTCCTCTCTTCCACCCTTCGTTCGTGTTACGGTATCATAATCTCCTCTCGCTCCTTCCCTCGTTTTATCATCTAAACGATGCCGTGTCCCGTTCACTCTCTTCTCTCCTCCTCGTCCAATTTAAAAAAGTTTCTCAAGCCGCAGTTTTGTTATTCCCATCGTATTACATTAATGATGAAATCTGCCATTGCCAAAACGACCGTTCACTATTTAAGGTTTGAGTATGCCGAGCTTAATCCTTGCGTACATCGTGCGCGAGTAAGTGGCAATTTCCATAGATAATGTTACTCGTAATTGTACGGAAATAGGATGATGCGTTGGAGATACTGCGATTGCAGTAGTGTGGGCGCATGAGCATGCAGGATGTATCCAAGTTCGAGCTCGACTATGCACATTAAATAGCATGGTTACTGCTGGTGTAATATTGAATGAAATAGCAACGTATATTTCTTATATGCAAAATGAATTATTCGATCGAGACAATTTCTCGTGAATATTGCGATTATTTTTTACAAGTCTCGTCTTTATTGGTTTATGCTAAATGATTTACACAGTTAACATTTTGTATTTGTATTAAAATTGGGTCTCATTAAAAATCTTTGTGTTGAATTTTTAAATATTTGAGTGGTAATTTAACAATGTGATTATATTATTTGAATATTTTGTATTAAATTGATATTTAATAAAAATTTTTTAGTGTTAAAATAACACCGTTTATGAGTAAATGAACAAATAAAAGTTATAAAACGTAAATTGTAAGATAAGTGAATAAAATACATGTCAATTTAACATACGTGGATAGTTTGATAAGTTTTGAGCCTGGACATGAAAAATGGCATTACAGATCAAAAACTGTTGTAAAGTGTAAAAACTGCGTCTTTTTAATGGCTGCTCTAAAATTTTCAGTCATATATGACTCTTACAATCAGTTTTGTTTGGATGTCAGTTGAGAAAACTGGTGCTACGCAATAGCTGTCGCGTTTGCTGACATTGGACCGGAAAGGTGTGTTTGGACCGGTTCAAGAGAGATACAAAGGATTTCTTGCGTGATTGTTGACGAAACATGAATCCACCACTACACGTGTGAGAGCAAAGAACAGTCATCTGCTCCGAAGAAGGCGAAGACGTTCTATTCGGAATGAAGAGACTAGAAAAGAGATGGACCAAATATATCGAGCTAAAAGGAAGCTATATTGAAAAATAAAACTGATTTTGCCCAAAAATATGTTTCAATGTCAGTTCAAAATTTACCGAAGTACCCACGTACTATAAATGTATTAATTTTACTGAAGAAATATACTTCCATAATTTATTGTCAAAATATCACATTTTTTTATGTTAAATTTTACGTAATATTTGTGTTACATTTTAATATATTTATCTTGTTTTAAACCAACATCAAAATCAATAAACTGTTTGGAATATGTGAAATGTGATAAATTAGACATGAATATTTTCTATCTATGTACTTTATTCGGACTTTATACATAATGTAACTGGAATAAACAGATACGTGCAATGAAAAAAAGTCTTGTTAATTGAAATTCTGTTAGATTTGCCCAGAAAGATATAAATTAGACACTTTTAGTTAAATGTATGTACACTTTATTCGAGATAATCAAAAATTCAATTATGATAATCAGAATTCTATTTGGTATGATCCTTTTGTTTATATTTCTTATTGGTACAACTAGAACAACTTTTCTCAGTGTGATTATTTATTTTATTATTAAAGAAGGAGAAGAGTTTATTATAATGCGTTTGACATACTGCGGGAAAGCGCAAAATTCTATCTCTTTATTTAATAACGGAAAGAAGAAAACTCGTATTATATATCATACAATATTACAGTAAAGCACATCGTAGTTATTGAAGTGAAATATAAGTATCCGTGCTCTTTTCTCGAGATTCTCTTATCGGCGATGCGGGCGATTCAAAACTCATTATTTCTCCAATCTTTTTCGCATGCTTCAAAAGTCGGCAAAAGAAAGGTCTCTCTCTTCTTTTCTCTTTTCTTTTTACTCCCTTCCTCTCTCCCTTCCCCCCCCTCTCTCTCTCTCCCTCTCTCTCTTTCTGTATCTGAAATATCCTCACGAGTTATACTTTCTTTAATGGCTTCTCAACATTCATCTGCAGAATCTATATCTATTCATCGATACGATAATTAAATAAGCTAATGCAATAACGATACGAAGCAACCCGATTCGGGTTAAATCACCGAAGCGGCAACGCGGAATTCGCAGGAGCAAATGCAAAGATCGTTATTCAAATATAACGCGTATTATAACGTGATGTCATATCTGCACACGAAGCAAATGGATACGTAATATAAACATTTTCGCATTCTCTCTTGAAGGGAAGCACTCAGATGAGACCGGACTGGCTTCCGGTCGTGATGTAAGCTTCGTTGCTCCCGTAGCGTTTGTTGTATACTTTACGGTCTTCCGGCACGGTCTTCTGCCGTTTCGTACCGAAATCAAATTGGCATTCTCGAGATACGGCCAGACTCTCGCATCCCATCTGTAGCAATCTAATCCCGCGCTCCAGGGTCCGTTGCAGCTTCACCGGCGGCACGGCGCGGCGGAGGCAATGACGGCGGCGGCGCACAAGTTCTCACGCGCGTCGACCTGACCTGACCCTCTTTCCCAGGTTCAAACCGACGAACGGGGCGCGTATAGCCGGCCGGCTACTTACTGGGAACTTCGTCTCCCTCGTGAGATCATTCTGCATCCCCTCACCCTCTCGGTTCGTCCGGCTGAAGTAGGTAGTCCCCGGCAAACCACCTCGCCGCACCACCGCGCTTTCTATTTTAACGGCGCGGCACAACTCGCGGGAGTGCTACGTCGTCGCGGTCTTACGTCGCTTAAGAAATCTCCCCCGCGAGTAAGTAGGCTGTGAAGGTTAGATCGAGGTTGAACCGATTTTCCTTCGGGAACTCACTTTTATACGGCACGGAGCGCCTCCGGTTATATATCTGGTAAATAGCGCTATATTCAATGGGATCATGTAAAACGAACGATCCAGAAATGAAAATGTAACAAAAATTTAATGTTTGTTCATGGAAAGAATTTTTGTGAAGTATTTAAAAATTTAGCTGGATACAGATCTGAACACAATTTTATTGGGGAATATAAAGATAATTATATAGAAGACTCTCAGACTTTGATACAATATCAAAGCTCTTTTATAGTATTGGTCATTAATACTTGAGATTTGTATGTAATTATATGTCGATTCAACAAAATATTTTCAAATTTGCATCTAGCTCTCAATTTTTAGATTTTTTAGCAAATTGTTCTTTCCATATATGTACTCGGTATTTTGCTAGTCGGGAAGAACAATTCTGCTAAAAATTTGCTATCTAAAAATTTAGCTATAGATACAAATCTAAAAATAATTTTAGTGATTCATTAAAATAATTACGTAATTGTAAAGCGTTCAAATCACACATAAATCAGATTATCCAAGGAATATTCTGAAAATGTTCTTAAGACGTAAAATGTGCTCTGAACATCTTTAGGAGGTTTCTTGAAGGTCATCGTTGTATGAGACTGATTGCTAAAAATGTCAAAGCATTTTGCAACATTGTTCATTATGGTTGAGATTCCTACATAATTATTCTGATGTACCAACAAAATTATTTTCAGATCTAACTAAACTTTTAGATACTTCAATAAAATAATTTTTTCCGTGTGATAATAGTTAACGCCGTATTCAACGGGACCTTGCAGAACGAATGATCTTTAGCAAGTGTAACGAAAATTTGTTTGTGTGATTTATAGTTAGCAATTACTGTAATCTTAGAGTGGCCATTGAAGGCTATTTCTTAGTAATTTAATTAATTCTTATCCTTGAACAGTTTTAATATTTGACGATTTTATCAACTAAATTCTGCTAAATTAATCCAACGCGCTCCAGAATTTAGTTAAATTTAGAAAATGTATGGACAAAGAAGTCACTATTGGACGACTTTATCCTGCACTTATGTAATTTACTATAACTATTACTATAATTCTAATGTCAGAATTTATAGAACTGCATATTCATTAATCGCATTTAGGTCAGCTTTAAGAGGAAACCTCAAATACACTTGAGAAATCTTCTCGCGTGTAGGAAAGAGAGTGGCTGGCAGTATATCATGAGTACACAAGAGGAAACTGATTTTCGGCAGAGGAGGTTCTCCATGTATAATTAGAAATTTCAATTTAAATAAATGCTAAACATGTCGATCTTTTATTT